TAGCAGCGCGGATACTTTAATTAATAACGGGCGGACACTTAAACTAATAAAGTATCCGGTTAAGTTGTTGGGGGGAAATAAGGGATTTTTGTATTTTAGTAAAAGAGTAGGGAAATATTGAGAATAGGTAAAGAAGTGTTGTGTATTTAAGTATTTTTTCCTTAATATTTTGAGTAAATTTACAGACCATCAATTTAAAAAAAAATCATATTTAACACCTCTAACCCCCCCCCCCCCCCTAAAGAAGTTTATCTAGTCCTATATTTTGGTGTATATATAATGTCAAGGTTGACTCCCGATCTACGAAGACTCTTATCTAATTTCATATTTAAATGTAGTTGGTGTATGATGTCGAGGTTGGCTCTCGCCCTTAGAAAGGAATTTATTGTTTGAATCAAACACTTATTATCATGTGATCATGCCATAGATAAGATGTTGCCGTTATCCAACAGTCCCTCACCCCTCTCTAGACCTGCCTCATGCAACATGTTGTTCTTGGAAATCGAACTTATGATCTTGATTGTGATACCACTTATTATGAATAAGTATTACTATCATACCAAGATTAAAAGTTATAGCTGATAATAGTAAGGGCGTAATTTTATTTTTTAATTATTGAACCCGCCAAACATGCATCATGTTCGATCATGACTTTGACCTGGGCCATCCTTGCCCTCTCGTAGGCCTTGCCATAGTCAAGATGTTGATATTACACAATAATACCTTTCCCAACACTTGCTTCATGTAACATGTCGTTTTTGGGAATCATACTCACAATTTTAACTCTAATGTCACTTTTTAGAATCAAATACTTACCATCATTCTAAAAATTTATATAACTGATAGCAAGAAAATTTTTATTTCTTAAGATAATTAAGCAAGTGTTATGTTCGATCAAATCTCTCGTGAGCCTTACCATTATGCAATTCACTATCAACTATATCAGATTGTTATGAAATGCTATTTAGTACAAGTTGAGGATGTGGTGGCTTAATATAATTAAAACACCCTTTATTGTCTATTGCCTAAAAGACGAACGGTTATAGCTGTGAAGTCATGCCAAAGTTTGCTCAGTCGTCGTTGGAACTGGAGATATAATGCTTTATCACCTTCTTGTTTATTTACGACAAATTTTTACTCGTTCATTATCTTAAATTAAAAATAATTTTTCACTATTACATGTCAATTTTAATGTATTAAGAAAAAAATAATTTTATTTTACTCTTAATATTAATTACTTATTCTTCATTCATTTTCATTATTTAAAACTATATATTAGTTAATCATTATTTTTTAAGAAACGATTTTGCGTAAAATCGAAGTTGAACAAAGAAAAGTGAAGGAGGGAATATAAGCCACGCAAATAAGCAACTTTTGTATTTTGGTCACATATATGATCCTCCTGCTGGTAGCAACTTTTGTATTTTTATGCTCTCGAAAATGGGTTTCGTTTATTTATTATTCTGGTTTAATTTCCTCTTGAATAATGCTAAATCAAAAATCTTGTTCTATTGAAATATATCCATATTGTTTTAGTGATAAATGTTGCCTTCCAATCGAACATTGGCAAGTGAGGCTCTAGAGATTAATCAATTTATGATATCAATAACGGAGTTAAAATTTTATACAAAAAAAATAGTCATAAATATAATTATTTCTGAATTGAATCTACTCATCTTAAAAAGTTTCTAAACCTCTTTTCTCAATTATTAACATTTTATTTCATGTCATTCAATAGTTTATATATAATTAAAAAAAACTAGTTTTTATTTATATTTATAAATATGTTTTTGTATAAAAAATTGACTCCAATTAAAAATAATTTATGTAATATTTTTCTAATATATTTTTTCAAGTAATTTTCATAATATAATTATTTTTTTAAAAAAAAAAAACTAGTTTTAATGTTATCTATATATCATCACCTCAATGTAGATATATAAAGGTGCATATGTGGTATAATGAGACTGTACGTGGTCCACTTGCATCCAAATTCTGGCAAATGGGGGTCTAACATTATTCAGGATATCAATCTACTGATTTTTATTCTTAGTAAAAAAAAAATTATCTGGAAAATAAGTGTTACGTTAGAAATTCAAGCTAAATAATAGTATGTTTTTTCAATTATACCTTATTTGTCAACTATCAAGTACTCCGAGGTAATATCTCAGATGGTCACTCAACTATGAACTCTTTTCTCATAAAGTCACTTAACTTTGGTTTTTAACTCATAAATCACTCAGCTATGAGTTCTTTTATCAGAAAGTCACTCAATTATAAGTTCTTTACTCAGAAAGTTACTCAACTTTGATTTTTAACTCAAAAATCACTCAACAACGAGTGTTTTACTTATAAAGTCACTCAACCATGAGTGTTTTTCTTAAAAAGTCACTGAACCTATTCAATTAAATTTTTTTAAATTAATATTCACTTACATCAAATTTTTATTTCTAAGGAAAAAAAGATTAAAAATAAATAAGTATCTATTTGAACTGCCAATTATACTATGCTTAAAAAATTATGTAACATCGCCTGTATACTATGCTTAAATTTTTTTCAAACTGTAACGATGTTCCTATAAACACAGATTAAACAAAGTGTAGAAAAAAAATCATATAACATACAGAATTTAAAGGTTCTTAAAATAATAAATCCTAACTATTAAATTTGGATGGAAAAGGTAAAATAAAAGAATCACTATTATATTTTTAGCGGATCGAGTTAATTAGATGAATAATCTTTTTACAATTTTAGTTAGAAATAAAATTTTCATTTAAGTAAATTTTAATTTTTAAAAATTAATTGAATAAGTTGAGTGACTTTGGAAGTAAAAAAATTACAGTTGAGTGACTTTTGAGTTAAAAATCAAAGTTGAGTGACTTTATGAGAAAAGAACTCATAGTTGAGTGACTTTCTGAGAAAAAAATTCATAGTTGAGTGACTTTTAAATTAAAAACCAAAGTTAAGTGATTTTGTGAGAAAAAAGTTCATAATTGAGTCGTCATATGAGATATTACCTCCAAGTACTCCAATCCTTTCATTTAAAGTTGCTTGTTTGAGTTTGAGTTGAAACAAAGTCTAAAAAAATAAAGATAATTTTGTAATTTTGTAATTTAAATTAAAGATATAAATAATATAATAAAATATCTTTTAATTTTGTAGTCTTAAACATGTTATGTGAAAAGTCATTTTAATAAAAACAACTTTTAGCAACAATAAATATATACATTAACAAAGAGTGCTAAAACTTTTATCGGTAGTAGTTAATTGTCATTGGATCCAATGTCGCTATAGGCTTTAGGGACATTTACAAAAAATGTTAATTGCCACTAAAAATACATATTTGGCGGCCATTAAGTTATTTTCGTTAATTAATATATTGCTGTTAAAGATCAATCTTGGTCTAGTAAGTTAGAATCAAAGAGTTGCCAAAGACGCCCTTTAACTTGGCCTTAGCTAACATCCGTGCCCTTCAATTTTGAGTTTGCATAAGTAAACAATTAAATTTATATAAAGTTGAACAAGTAGATAGACACGTCCTACCGTAAAACGGATAGTGAAAAATAAGTTGTATGGGCCAGACACAGAGAACCCAATGAACATAATTCTTTTTGGTTCATTGTCATAATCCAGTCCATTGAACCCCTAATACAAAATACAAAATAATGCACAAAATAAACAAGCCTTTATAAGTTCTTTTTGTTTCCTTTTTCAATTCCTTTTTACCCATTTTTTTCAACTTATACACTATTTCTCATCAAAGGTTAGCACTTCATATTTACTATCAAAATTCAACATCAACCATAGTACTATTAATTTTGTATCAATATTATGTGTGTGTCCATCATTAATTATTCTACCTTGTGACTTTTTTTCTTTGTTTGCATGGAAATTAAGGAAGAATATTGTATGGAATGATGGGAAGAGCAAAAATAGAGATAAAGAGAATAGAGAACAAGACAAACAGAGGGGTGACTTATTCAAAGCGTAGAAAAGGGCTAATTAAGAAAGCCTATGAGCTTAGTGTGCTGTGTGACACTGATGTTGCTCTACTCATGTTCTCTCCTACTGGTCGACTCACATCCTTCTCTCCAAAACAAAGGTGCTACGTAGTTTCTCAGATCATCATTCAATTAATAGTTATTATATTATTTCATGATCGACTTACATCCTTCTCTCCAAAACAAAGGTGCTACGTAGTTTCTCAAATGATCATTCAACTAATTGTTAGTATTTTTAATTTATTTATTTTTACTTTTCAATCTTAATTTTTTTTTATTGAAATAATAATCAGTAGTTGAGTGATTTGTTTTTAAATTTCATGCTAGATTAACAAACCATTAAATTGACTAAGTGAAAATATTGAAAAAGAAAAATAAAGAATTGTATATGCCGGCGCCTACAATTGAATTATTAGCAATATTTCTTGCGTGTTAATTTTTAACCACTTAAAATGAGGATTCCTATGTTTATTAATTAGTACTCTTTAATTAAAAGTTTTTGTGTGGATTTAACTCAAAACTAATTATTAGTCACCTCTTTTTCGCTGTTTTATTTCTCTATATTAAAATTCAATATTTATGTACTGGTGGCATGTAATTATATTTTATTTTAAAAATAGATGACGGGTTTTCTTTTTTCAGTCGTGTAGAAAATTTGTAATTAGAGAAAAATTCTTGTAAATTAAAGAAGAATCCGAATTAAATATTTGTTTAGAAAAAAATAGTAGTTTAACTGATTTGCTATCTGAACTTTCACCTTGTTGATGAGAGTTCGATTCCACCTTGTCATCCCTTTTAAATATTTTTATTTTTTCTCTAATTTATGGTAATCACTCACTTATACGTGTTTTACGGGATAATTAAACAGAATTGAAGATGTGTTTTCTCGTTTTTTAAATCTCTCTGAACGCGATAAAGGGAGGTACGCAAACAAATTCTTCATAATATTTATTTATTTATTTATCAAATTTGCTAAAATATCAACTCCTCTTTATAATATTAATATTAATTACTATTGTTTGTGTTGTTAAATATTACTAATATTTCTGTCTTGCAGGGACAAAGGAAATTAAAAATCTATATCTAGATATGATTACGTGGCAATCAAGCCATTGCTTTCTACGTGTCAGCATAACACATAATTAACGGTGCATCTGTACAAAAAAACATATAGTTTCGCAAATTATTGCCTCATATATTATATGGTTATAAATAAAATATGTGATTAATAATATTCATAATTTCAGTTGTGTAAAAAAGTTGTTTCCTTTTCGATTTTCTTTTTGCATGTCTTCTACATGATATATATACTACGCTATAGTTGACTGTTGACTAAGTATACTTTAATCTATATAAATATTTTTTTTTATTAAATAGATATAATAGTTGATTTCATCTGTTAATAAATCAAATGAGTTTTGAACTCAAATTCATAAAATTCAAATTCTAAATTTGTTGATCGATTTTAGAAATTAAAGATCTGAAACTTTTTATAAATTTATCGAGATACCAATCATATTATTACTTATTTCACTTTTTGAACGTGTTTATTATAATTTCCATGTATCAACTAACTCATACTTTTTCTTGTACTCATTTTGATTTTTTGATCATATCAACCTTGCAGTGCTCTCCTTGATAGACAGGTAAGATAAAAATGTTTTGACATATTGGTGATTAAATTTTTGTTTTTTAATTTTGAATATATCATTTTAATCTCCAGTAATATATGTTGATGTTATTATGTTTAGTAAGGAAAAAAAAGAGTACATTAACAAATAATATTACCAAGATCTTAGAAAAATACAAGAGAAAAATTAAAGGATCAAGTCTATCTCAATATTCATGCGCTAAATATTTATTGCAAGAAATATATAATTGAATTATATTTGGAATTTCATAAAGAACTTTCAGATTTTTTTTCCTTCTATTAATTTTTTAAAAACGCTCCTTTTAATTTAAATTTAAAGCATAGAGAAGTGACTAGTATATATCAATTATATCAAACTACTATATGCAGTAGTTTGAGTTGTTTTAATATCCTCCATGTTAGGTTTTCTGCACATTCAACAATAATGACATATTCAAAGTAATATGATAAATGAAGTCTGAAGAGAGTAATATATATATATGTCTTGCCCTTATTTGTGGATATGAAAATTATTTCCAATTCACCATTGGCTCAAAAAGAATTTCTTTGAAATAAGAAAAATATGACATTGAACTCCCTGCATACTCAACTACCTATATCTTTTTACCCTAATCTTCGACCACAATAGCTTCCATTTTATTTCTGTATTTATTTTCCTTTCCTTTGTTGATGGGTAAGATAATTAATATATGAATACTTTGTCTTGAAGCAGCAAGTGATGAGGAGTCAGAATCTTCTGGGGTTAGAATTGTCTTTTTCCACTACCTTTTCACCCCAAACTTCTTAATATAATACACATTACTCACACTTTAATTGTAAAATTTATGTGAAGGATGATGCATGGAACCAATCCAGCTGCTGCCTCTACCACCAGCCAAATTCATCAGGTATATATATGAATAGGATATAAAATTGCTTTCACTTTTACACATTTAAAACAACTATAAGTTGGTTAGCTTCTTTGTTATATGAGGGTGTTCTTTCACTACAAAAAAAGAAGTGGCAATATAAATACACAATGCTAAAGCCTTTACCGACATTAGTTAATTGCAATTGGATCCAATGTTGCTATAGGCTTTAGGGACATTTACAAAGAGTGTTAATTGCTGCTTAAAATACATATTTAGTGACAACGCTAAAGATCATTTTTAGTGTTTGTAAATTCATTTTTAATTTTCTCAGGAACTCAGGCAGGAAATTAATGCTTTGCTACAACAAATTCATGTAGCTGAGGAAAAATTAAGGTTCATCTATTCATCTTTTGTTGGTGTTGCACTTAGTAAATTTCATGCCAATGTTAATTATAGTATTGCTCTATTTCGAAATGTTTGTCTTCTTTCATGAAAATGTGTCAAAATATATGTGTTTCGTGATTATTTTTTTTGAGTTTAAAATAGTGTGAATGAGAGATAAAATCTTTTTCGAAAAGAAATCAAGAGAAATGATACAATTTGAATATCATATTTTTACATAATATACCTTTTCTAATATTTCCCAACATCCTTTTTCTCAATTAGTTTAATGATATTTTCTTTTCCCTAGCTAATATGCCTCCAAAGTGTACGTTGTGTTGGGTATTAATTTGCCCTGAGTTTCTTTTTCAATTGACTAGTTATTTTCTTTTAGGAAAAGTTTTTTCTAACTTAATCAACATTTACAATGTAGCCTAGGGACTTTGAGAGTTTTGATAAGGGGATAATTTGTGGGACACAAGTGGTATGCTATCACTTACCTCCCATGTATTCCAAGTGAATTGGTTGAAATTATTCCTCTCTACATTTTGTACTCTCATATTTATATAGTGGATTTCCCATCTACTTTGTGGACGTAGGTCGATTGACCGAACCACGTTAAATCTCTGTGTCTTTTGGTATATTTTTCGTCCGTCTTTTTACTCATGGTCTTTCGAGATTTGCTTTGCTAGCTTGCGCATGACACCTACTTATTTCTATCCTAACACGTTGATATAATATACATTTTGGAGAAAAATACATCATTGTGCTTTAATTATTAATGCAGTATGTATGAGCCTGATCCTGGGAAGATGACATCATTGGAAGAGCTCGAAGCATGTGAGAAACAACTTGAGACCCTCTTAATTTCTGTCGTTAAGAGAAAGGTAATTACTCTATCCGTTTCTTTTTACCTGATTCATATTGACTTGATACTTCCATCAGTACTTCGTTCCAATTTATGTAAGATATTTAACTAAGCACGATGTTATAATGATATATTTAATATTATTTCATGAAGATGAGTCTAAGTTCAAAAGTGAAAGCAAGCGAAGAAGAGAGCAACGAAGTGGATTTATTATCTTACGACGATGCTTTTAATCAACCACAAATTTTCGACTATGGTACTACTTCTGAAAGGTACATTTTGGTCCAATTTTTAAATCGAATATTGCAAATAACTCCTTAATTTTAAATTCTAGAGTATTTCTTTTGATGCTCGACTAATTAAATCAAGAATTTCATCAACTAATTAATTCGACTTCAATCTAAACATATATTTTGATTGACGAGTTCATGGTTACATAAGCACTCCTATTTGAAATTATGAAAAAAAGATTTAGTTTTTTCTTGCTAGGAATAATGTCTTTTCCTCAACAATGGTTCCTCCAGATATTAAAGGAAGCAAATCCAATATGAATGTTGAAAAAGGCCAAGCTATAAATGATAATAACATCTTGTCATGGCATTATATGTCACCATTCAAGTGATCCTAAGATTTTGTCGCAGTGATTTAAATTTTCAACGACTCTCTAGATGTGAGTTCGAATAAATATGCGCTCATACTTGTATATGAGTACAATATATTAGTACTTTGTAGTGAGTAATAAAACTTTCATCATATATATGGATATCGTTGGTCATGTTTATAGATCTATATAAACATTACTCCACATTAAATCAAGTTGAAATACATAAATAGCATTCTAAACTTGTCTAGATTTTTCAAACATTAATTCCGCTCCTAATAAAATATTTCTGGAAAAGATGGTGCTTTGATGGAATATTTATTTTACTTTGATGATGTATACTTCTTAACTTTGTGATTAAAAGTAAATATATATTTCTAATTTGAAAAGTGATGCATATATGTCATCTAACAAATAATGAGATAAAGTAAAGAGTAAAAATAATATAAAAGTTATTGGAAAATATTACTACAAACTTTGGCCCAAACAATAGTGATCTTCTACTGATCAGTAAAAGTCCATAACGTAAGAAGTAAAGGCAGCATAACGAGACAATATAACGGTATATTCCATGCCCATCGATAGATATAAATTGTTGCACATTGCGGCTTTCACCAGCAATATAATACACTTTTATTAATATTAAAACGACATACTAACACAAAACAATGAAATATTCTCGACTATGGAAACATAATTTCCATTGGACATAAGGAGTTCGAGAAATATGACCAATACATAGCCAAAACATGCAACAAGGCCATAAAAGTTTGCTTATTAATAGAGAGAATTCAAAAGAAAATAGATGGAGAACATTCCACTAATGATCCCTCCATGCTAGCCATTCAAACGTTTGCATCACTTATGCTTATTACCTACAAATAAAAGAATGCAAATAATAATAATGTTAATTTTCTTTAAAAAAAATGCTACGTAGTAATAATAATGATAATGATAATAATGATAATGATAATAATAATAATAATAATAATAATAAGTGTCTTTTAAAAAAAATTGAGAATAAAACAAAATATTTAGTAGAAAATAACTTACCAAAGTTTGGATTAAACATGAACTGACGTAACAAAGGATCCACTGGTAGACCAATAATAGCAAAGTTTGGATCGTACAACCCGTTGACAGTAGGCCTACGATTCAAGTCATGAAAGAATTATTATTTAAATTGATTATTACATTTGTAACTTCTAATATGCCAGGTAGATTGGATGATGATAATATATATTGGTGAAATAATAAGTTAGTTGACGGAATCCATGTCTCGCTTTAGAGTTTGATGGTATGCTTTTTGAGAAGCTTATAAGTTTTCATCGCGTCAAACCTTGCAAGTGGATTTATGAATTTGACACATGAAATAAGTTAAGTAGTGCTCCAAAAGGAAATTGATCATTGAATTAAATTCGTCAGTAATTTAATTTATTGATTAGTATCTTTAATCTTAACCTGAGAAATTACTTATGTGTTTAATAAGGAATTTCGAAATATAAATAGAGGAGTGCAATTGCGAATTTCTAGTGGAATGATTTGTAATTAATTATGATAAGAATAATTAAAATTAATTATTTAGAATTATTTCCATAATAGGAGCCTCAGTAATTAATTTTGTAGTCTCTACCGTGTCCATATTTACTAGAACTCAGAATCCATTCTAAGGGGAAAGGGAGAAATATGTGTCTTTCTCCATTCTAAGGAAAGAGTGAAATACGTGTCTTTCTCTATTCTAAGGAAAGAGAGAAGTACATGACTTTTTTCTGTTCTATACAAAATAAGAAGTATGTGTCTTTTTCTTTTCTATGGAAAGGGAGAAGTACATGTCTTTTTCTATTCTAAGAAAAGACATAGTGTTCCCTCTCCTCCTTGACTAGGAAGAAATGTCTTTTTCTATTCTAAGAAAAGACATAGTGTTCCCTCTCCTCCTTGACTAGGAAGAAATGTCTTTTTCTATTCTAAGAAAAGACATAGTGTTCCCTCTCCTCCTTGACTAGGAAGAAATGTCTTTTTCTATTCTAAGAAAAGACATAGTGTTCCCTCTCCTCCTTGACTAGGAAGAAATGTCTTTTTCTATTCTAAGAAAAGACATAGTGTTCCCTCTCCTCCTTGACTAGGAAGAAATGTCTTTTTCTATTCTAAGAAAAGACATAGTGTTCCCTCTCCTCCTTGACTAGGAAGAAATGTCTTTTTCTATTCTAAGAAAAGACATAGTGTTCCCTCTCCTCCTTGACTAGGAAGAAATGTCTTTTTCTATTCTAAGAAAAGACATAGTGTTCCCTCTCCTCCTTGACTAGGAAGAAATGTCTTTTTCTATTCTAAGAAAAGACATAGTGTTCCCTCTCCTCCTTGACTAGGAAGAAATGTCTTTTTCTATTCTAAGAAAAGACATAGTGTTCCCTCTCCTCCTTGACTAGGAAGAAATGTCTTTTTCTATTCTAAGAAAAGACATAGTGTTCCCTCTCCTCCTTGACTAGGAAGAAATGTCTTTTTCTATTCTAAGAAAAGACATAGTGTTCCCTCTCCTCCTTGACTAGGAAGAAATGTCTTTTTCTATTCTAAGAAAAGACATAGTGTTCCCTCTCCTCCTTGACTAGGAAGAAATGTCTTTTTCTATTCTAAGAAAAGACATAGTGTTCCCTCTCCTCCTTGACTAGGAAGAAATGTCTTTTTCTATTCTAAGAAAAGACATAGTGTTCCCTCTCCTCCTTGACTAGGAAGAAATGTCTTTTTCTATTCTAAGAAAAGACATAGTGTTCCCTCTCCTCCTTGGACTAGGAAGAAATCTCTATAAATAGAGATTCTTCTAACCCTTGATAGAGAATATATTTTCTATGTAACACTTGCCCACCCAAGTATTGAGAAATTTCGGATGTGAACTTTGGATCACTATGAAAGACCGGAGAACTATCGTCTAGTTTGTGGACTAGCTTGTGGATTTACTTGAAAGTTTTAGCTTGTCGACAAGATTCTGGATTAATTCATTTGAAGGTATCTGCTCACGCTTCAAGAGGTAAATTTTGAATTAAATTTCATAAAGTTTATGTGTTATAGGATAAACTATGTGTTGTCCATTATTCATGTAAGTAATATGATTCTGATATGCTTCCACTATATATATAGTTTTCCAACACCGTGCCCCTAAAATTTTGTCGCAATGATTTAAATTTTAACCAACTCTCTAGATTTGAGTTTGAATAAATGTGTTCATACATGTCTATGAATACAATATATTAGTACTTTGTAGTGAGTAATGAGAAAAGACATAAAAGCACCACTAAAGTTGTCTCAGATTTTCAAAAAGACACTTTAATTTTGCAATCGTCCTATTACCCCACTAAACAATTTTGAACATGTATTATTATATCATTTTTCGTCCACCTGACATAGAGAGTGGTGTGCACTCTTTCAAAGAGAGTGAGCAACCTAAATGAACTAATATTAATTTTATTTTTACAAGTACTTTATTATAAAATATATTTTCTTATTTTTCTTATCATTTTAATTTTTTTCCTTTTCTTTTTTTCTCTTTCTTTCTTCTTTCTTCTTCAAAAATTCATTGACATCTTCATTGAAGCTTCTCACTTTTAATTTCACCATTTTTACCACAACTTCACCTTCTTTTTTTTACTACTATTAGTTTTACTCTCTTTAATTTTAAAACTTTAACTAAATATTTTCTTACATTTCGAACAATTTGATAAACCCATTAGATTTCAAGATGATTAGGAAGTATCATATATTATTTTTTATCCGATTTCAATTAAGTTCTTTCAATTTTCGGGGAATTCATTGGTTCTTTTAAAATTATCATTTCTAATATTGAAGTTATATGAAAAGGAGTAGTTGATGATATCTTCAAAATTTTAAATTTTCTTAGAAAAATAATTAAGTTTGTTATCAATAATTCAATAAGTCTAAAAAATAGTATGAATTCTATAAAGAATTTGACCGGAGGAGAAGAAGAAAAAGAAAAAGAAAAAAAAATGGGAGTGGGGTTCAACTTGACGTGGTAGGTGGGGTGAGGGTGGGAGGTGAAGAAAAACAAAGAAAATGGAGGGATGGATGTAACGACCCATTTGGTCGTTTTGAGTACTAAAACTTTGTATTTCGTAAAAGACTCTTCCGATAGACTTTAAAAGTTTATTTGATTGACTACCTTAATAAGTTTTGAGCTTCCGCATTATTGTTGTTATTCGTAGTTGAATTATTGATATATATTGGGGTTTGGATTCCTTGGTTCGCTCACTTAGGAGGTTAGGTGTGGGTGTCACTCATGACTCATTTTGGGTCGTGACAAACTTGGTATCAGAGCTTTAGGTTCGATGATCTCATCACACAAGGACAGGTCTAGTAGAGTCTTGCGGAAAGGTACGGGGACGCCTTTACTTTTCTTCGAGAGGCTATAAGACTTTAGGAAAACTCATATTTTTCTTTATTTCTGCTATTACTTGTATCTAATTGGTATATAGGTGATACAAATTGGTATCTGACCCTCTTCACTCTATCTCGCAGATGGTCAGAACTAGAGCAACATGTGTGACAACACCAACACCGGCAAGTCAGGGTGCGCCTGAGCCAACCGTTGGGGCAGCAACTCAAGGGGTAGCAATGGCAAGAGGCCGTGGTAGAGGTCGCGGGAGAATGCCTACTAGAGGCAGAGGACAAACACCTGGTCCAGCTAGGGATAGAGCAGTGACTCTTCCACCGACTGATGAGGTAGTGAGAGAGAGTGACGAAGGGGAAGATGAGCAGATTCAGGAGAATGAAGTACTACCCCAGCCTACTCCAGAGATGATTAATAAGGTTCAATTATCTTAGCGAATTATCTGATCAGGGCCAAGCACCCCAGCGTATTCTGCACCAGCACCTCAGGTTCAGGGAGTACAACATGTAGATGTTGTGGCTCTCCGCATGGATGCGTCCTTGGAAACAGGCACGTTTCCCCGATTGACTGCAGGGCCTATAATGACTAGTGACCAGCATAATCTCTTTATTAAGTTCTTAAAGCTGAAACCTCCAGTTTTCAAAGGTACTGAATCTGAAAATGCTTATGATTTCCTGGTTGATTGTCATGAGCTGTTACATAAGATGGACATAGTGGAGTGATTCGGTGTTGAGTTTGTGACCTACCAGTTTCAAGGGGATGCCAAAATGTGGTGGCGGTCTCATGTGGAGTGTCGACCAGCAAAGACACCATATATGACTTGGACAACATTTTCTTGCATATTTATGGAGAAGTACATACCCCAAACTTTGAGGGACAGAAGGAGAGATGAGTTCCTGAACATAGAGCAAGGAAGGATGTCTGTTGAAGATTATAAGGCTAAATTTCGTGCATTATCCAGGTATGCCACTCAGTTTTGCTTCAGTCCGCAAGAGCGGATTCGCCGCTTTGTAAAGGGATTGAGGTCAAATTTGCATATTCCAACTTTACAGGTAGCTGCTTCTGCAAAATCTTTTCAGGAAGTGGTTGATTTTGTGATAGAGGTAGAGGAGGTGAAGCCGGATGACTTCACCAAAGTGTCAACATTTAAAAAGTTTCGTAAGGGAGGTGAGTTTAGTGGTTCGTACTCCAGAGGGTAGAGTTCAGGGGGATATCTACCCCGTCCTATTCAGTCTTTATTGCAGGCTTCAGTTGAGGGTCTGTTGCAGACCAGTAAACTTTTTTCTGAGTTTGGGGGTTACCTCCAGTCTTCTTCATCTTCACAGAGACCTACACTCGACTCTAGGACTTGTTATGGATGTGGAGAGGCCAGACATATCAAGAAATATTGTCCAAAGCAAAGTCAGGCTTGGTACGATTAGAGTTACAGATCCCCAGCAGTTAAAGGTAGAGGTGGTCATGGTAGAGGCCGTTATTCTGGAGGACGTGGTGGCCAATGTAATGGTGGTCACTAGTTCAACCGGGGTGGTGGGCAGGTTGGAACTACTGGAGCGCAGCCTGGCAGGGGCAATGGACAGACAGGTGATAGGGCCCATTGTTATGCTTTTCCCGGGAGGTCAGAGGTAGAGACATCTGATGTTGTTATCACATGTACTCTTCTGGTCTGTGATCGCATGGCTTCTGTATTGTTTGATCCTGGATCCACATTTTCTTATATATCTTTCTCGTTCGCTACTGGTCTTAATTTGCATTGTGATTTGCTTGACATGTCTATTCGTGTCTCTACTCCTGTTGGTGAGTCTGTGATAGTTGAGAAGGTGTATAGGTCTTGCCTTGTGACTTTTGTGGGGAGAGAGACTTATGTAGATCTGATTATTATAGAGATGGTTGATTTTGATGTAATTTTGGGTATGACTTGGCTTTTTCTAAATTTTGCTATCTTAGATTGTAATGCTAAGACTGTGGCCTTGGCCAAGCCTGGGCTAGATCCACTAGTGTGGGAGGTTGACTACATTCCCGTAGTTCGTATTATCTCTTTTCTTCGTGCTAAGAGGTTGGTGAGTAAGGGTTGTTTAGCTTTCTTGGCACATCTCATGGAAGATACTTCCAAAGTGCCTTCAATCGAGTCTGTTTCAATAGTCCGTGAGTTTACAAATTTTTTTCCTGCCGACCTACCTGGTATGCCACCAGATAGAGATATTGATTTTTGTATTGACTTGAAACTGGGGACTCGCCCCATTTCCACTCTACCTTATAGAATGGCCCCAACTAAGTTAAGGGAGTTAAAGGCCCAACTTCAAGAGTTATTAGGTAAAGGTTTTATTAGACCGAATACATCTCTTTGGGGTGCTCCAGTTTTATTTGTGAAGAAGAGGATGGTAGTTTTTGGATGTGCATAGACTATAGGCAACTGAATAAGGTAACTATTAAGAACAAGTACCCCATTCCTCGTATTGATGACTTGTTCGATCAGTTACAGAGTGCTTGTATCTTCTCTAAAATTGATTTGAGGTCCTATTATCATCAATTGAATGCGAGTAATGGACGTGCCAAAAACTATTTTTCGAACAAGGTATGGGCATTATGAATTCTTAGTAATGTCTTTCAAGCTTACGAATGCCTCTGCTGCTTTCATGAGCCTAATGAACGGAATTTTTAAGCCATATCTAGACCTCTTTGTTATTGTATTCATTGATGATATCCTGATATACTTAAAGAGCAGGAAGGAACACAAAGATCATTTGAGAATTATATTGGGGTTGTTAAGGAAGAAAAGGCTTTATGCCAAATTCTCCAAGTGTGAGTTTTGGATCGATTCAGTGTCATTTTTAGGGCACATCTTTTCTAAGAATGGAGTGATGGTGGATCCCTCTAAGATTAAAGTAGTGAAGAGTTGGGTAAGGCCTACTAATGTTTCAGAGGTAAGGAGCTTTGTTGGTTTAGCTAGCTACTACCGCCGATTCGTACAGAGATTCTTTTCCATTGCTTCCCAGTTGCCCAATTTGACCAAGCAGAATGTTCCATTTGTATGGTCGAATGAGTGTGAAGAAAGCTTCCTAAAACTCAAGACCTTGTTGACTACTACACTGATTCTTGTCTTGCCCATGAAAGGTAAGAATTTCATTGTTTATTGTGATGCATCTTATTCTAGTTTGGGTGCATTGCTAATGCAAGAGAGGAATGTAATTGCCTATGCTTCAAGTTAATTGAAAGTGCATGAACATAACTATCTGACCCATGATTTGGAGTTGGCTGCAGTTGTATTTGCATTGAAGCAGTGGAGACATTATCTATATGGGGTTAAGTGTGAAGTGTATACAGATCATCGTAGTTTACAATATGTGTTCACCCAGAAGGATTTGAATTTGAGGCAGAGGAGGTGGATGGGGTTATTGAAAGACTGATATTACTATTTTATATCACCCTGGAAAGGCTAATGTTGTGGCAGAAGCCCTAAGTAGAAAAGCAGGGAGCATGCGTAGTTTAGCCCACTTACAGGTTTCTAGACGCCCATTGGGTAGAGAGGTGCAAACTTTGGTTAATGACTTTATGAGGTTAGAAATACTTGAAAAATGAGGATTCTTGGCCTGTGTGGAGGCAAGATCTTCTTTTGTTGACAAGATAGGGAAAGCAGTTTGATGATGAGAAGCTGAGTCGAATTCGAGATATGATGTTGCGGGGAGAGGCTAAGGAGGTTGTGATTGATGAGGAAGGCATCTTGAGAATTAAGGGGCGGGTGTGTGTGCCCCGTGTTGATGACTTAACTCATACTATTCTTGCAGAGGCTCATAGTTCGAGGTATTCTATACATCCTGGTGCAACCAAGATGTATCGTGATCTAAAACAACATTATTGGTAGAGTAGAATGAAGCGTGACATAGTTGATTTTGTTGCCCAATGTTCGAATTGTCAGCAGGTAAAGTATGAACATCAGAGGCCTGGAGGACACTTCAGAGAATGCCTATTTCGAAATAGAAGTGGGAAAGAATTGCAATGGATTTTGTGGTTGGTCTTCCAAAGACATTGGGTAAGTTTGATTCTATTTGGGTAATTGTTGACAGGTTAACTAAGTCTGCTCATTTCGTTTCGATCAAAATGACTTACAATGCAGAGAAGTTAGCTAAACTCTATATCTATGAGATTGTTCGATTGCATGGAGTTCCAATTTCCATCATATCAAATAGAGGTACGTAATTTACTTCTAACTTTTGAAGGACCTTGCATGCTAAATTAGGTACTAGATTGGATCTTAGTACCGCATTTCACCCTCAGACCAATGGATAGTCTGAGCGAATAATTCAAGTGCTGGAGGATATGCCTCGTGCGTGCATGATAGATTTTGGTGATCATTGGGATCAATTCTTACCCTTAGCAGAGTTTTCATACAACAATAGCTACCACTCGAGTATTGATATGGCCCAATTTGAGGCATTGTATGAGAGGAGATATAGGTCTCCCATTGGCTGGTTTGATTCATTTGAGGTGAGACCTTGGGGTACCGATCTCTTTAGGGAATCATTAGAGAAAGTGAAATTCATTCAGGAGAAGCTTTTAGCAGCTCATAGCAGGCAGAAGGAGTATGCAGATCGGAAGGTTAAGGACTTGGAGTTTATGGAGGGTGAGCAAGTCTTGCTAAATGTTTCATCTATGAAGGGTGTAATGCGATTTGGTAAGCGAGATAAGCTTAGTCCGAGGTTCATTGGGCCATTTGAAGTTCTTAAGCGCGTGGGGGAGGTAGCCTATGAATTGGCCTTGCCTCCAGGGTTGTCAGGAGTGCACTCGATATTTCATGTGTCTATGTTGAAAAAATACCATGGTGATGGAAACTACATTATTCATTGGGATTCGATATTGCTTGATGAGAATCTGTCTTATGAGGAGGAGCCTGTAGCTATTCTAGATAGGGAGGTCCGCAAGTTGAGGTCAAAAGAGATTGCATCTATCAAGGTTCAGTGGAGGAATCAGCTGGTTGAAGAGTCCACTTGGGAGAGTGAGGTTGATATGCAAGAAAGATATCCACATATTTTTATCGATTTAGGTACTCTTTCTTACCTTCGCCTTCTTTGATCATTTGAGGACGAACGATGGGTAAATTAGTATCTAATGTAACGACCCATTTGGTTGTTTTGAGTACTAAAGTTTTGTATTTCATAAAAGACTCTTCTGATAGACTTTAAATGGGTATTTTGGACTGTTCAAAATTACAATTATGAAATTAGTGAGGTAGTTTTTATTATCAAATTAGTTGGTGGTTATAAAAGATATCATTAAAATAAATAGTGGGTCACTTTTATCACTTTTTATAATTGGTTATATGATAATTATAGTGGTAACTGATCTGTAAAAAAGGGAGAAAATTAAAATAGAGAGGAGCCGCACGATTGTGAGAAAAACCAGTTCTAGAAACGGCTTCAGGTAATTTTTCTTACCTTAATCTCTCCTAGTTATATTAATGATATTGTAATGACCCTCAGGTCATTTCTGTGTCTTGCCTTCTGTGTGTCGTTTAGAGCGTTCCTATAGCGACCCCAAGTCATTTATGACTTGCTGGGACTGACAGTTCGGTCACCTGGTCGTTCGTTTGGTCTTGGTGCGAGTTTTGTGTTTTGGAGCTTATGAACCTTAAACGATCATTTTCGATCAAAAAGTTCAAAGAAGATGACATCGGAATCCAATTTTGACGATTCCATCAGCTCCGGAAGGGTCATTTTAGGCTAGTAGCATGATCGACATGACTCCCGAGGTTTTCAGTGTGAGTCGGTGCGATTAGGCGTTTTAACTTTAAGTTTGACTTTGGTCAACATTTTGAGTAAACGCGCTCGGATGAGAATTCCGTCAGCGCGGTTAGCTCCGAAATGTCAAGTTGGTTTAGATTGACCCTTCTTTTGTGTCTGGAGGTTTTCGATATCTTTCCGATCCCTTTTGTGGGCTTTGACTTAAAATGACTTTTGGAAGTGGAACCCACTTTTTATTGAGATGACCTTTGATGGAAATTTTGACTGCTCCGTTGAGTCTGGAATGTCGAATTTGGTATGGTTGCATATCTCATTTGCGTGCACGGGGTTCCGAACGAGTTCGGAGCATCCCATCGGAGTTTTTAGTTTTTGAAAAAGTTGCAGAAAATCTCCTATTTATTAAAGATATATCAGCCAATTTTCCAAAACTTCAAACCCTCATAACTCTCTCATCTCTCAACCGATTTGGGCGATTCAAAAGGCAAAGTTGTGAGATTTTTGAGGACAATGCGTTGGTGAGCTTGGATAGTGATTTGGGGTCTCCGGTTTGAGGTAAATTTTGTGAAACACCTGCTACCACGACCCTTTTGTGAGCTTGATTTTGGAAATTTTTGAGACTTATTTTCTCAGCCATTTTAAGTCCGATTTCGGTGATTTTTGAGGCTATATTGAGTGGTTTTTCGAGGAGAATGTCGTGGTGTTGTCGCATTTCACTATAGACCTCCATTTTCTGGTAAATACACTGATTCAACTACTGTCCCATTTCTAGTTTTTGAGAAAATTTGGGTTTTTGTTGCATGTTGATATTGTGTTGTTCTCGACGCCCCGAATTGTGTCCTATTTTGGGGACATGAGCTGGGAAAACTGGTTAGGACCCACTTTTGGGGGTTAATTTTGGAATTTTCAGCGCGGGTCCCACGATTCCTGTTTTGACTCCAAAATTGACCCG